GGGAGGGAGGGAGGGAGAGAGAGAGAGAGAGAGAGAGAGAGAGAGAGAAATATCTCATATTCACCTGGTGCATTAACACTAGCCTAGAGATAAACATGAAAAATACTTTTTTAGAAATGAGCTGTCAAAATTATTTCTAACTATGTTTACTTACACAGCCAAGTGTTAGTTCCCGAATTATTTGTAAATGGCAATGGAGGAAGGGGTTCACTGGAATTTTACCAACCAAAGGTCCCCAGAACAATTCCCAGCATCACTACTCAGAGCAAGTGTGGGCCACCTGTGGCCTGTGAGCCACTTGAGCCTCCTGAAGACTATTCCTGGAGCACCCCATGGGTGGCTGCCACCACAGTATTTTTTGCCACCCCATCTGTAAACAAGGAGCTGAGTCAAATGGTAGGGAACAGCTAAAGAGGGGCTTCAGAGAGCCTTTGCCAGTCAAAGCTATCAGTCTTGGGTTAAGCAGACTAATGATTAGACAGAATGCATGGATAGGAACAGAACAGTTATTAAACAGAAGGAAATGATGCAGTATTGTCAGATGTTCAATGCACAGGTTCAACATGAAATAATTTCTGGAGCTACATATACAACCTTTCAAGCTTTAAGCATCTCTAGCTCAGAAGGAAGAATTCCAGAACATATAAATGCTCTTTCTGTATACTCTCACAGTTTAATTACAAGGGTTATCTCTTCTTTATCACATTTACAGATACAAAGTACAAAAAGCAAACCAATCCTGCACTAGTTAATCTAGATAAGCTAGATGTCACATCTGTTGGGAGTAAGAAGGATGGCAGTCTTGGGCCATGAACTTGGTTGTTCCCATAGGAACTGCTGGCTGCATCCCAGATAATTTGGAATCAGAAAGTGAAACAAATTACAGTGGAACTGGGGAGGATGGCTAGGTCAAGATTCTGAGATGAAGCTGGTGGAGGTGATTATCTCAAGGCCGGATGCTTCACTGAGCCAGGCAGTTTGTGGGAACGACCAAGATGTACAGCTGATGGGAGGGATCTCTGAGGATGATGAATTCTCAGCTACAGACTTACCCCCACCCCCACTATCAACTCCATGGTAAAGTGCCAGAATAGATGGGAGGCCCAATTGAATGAGCAGACATGCTTGCCTTCAGAAAGCACCCCCTGCGGGAATGGGGCCCAGGCATGTTCATAAGGAGATTTCCTGGAGGTAAATACTAGTTTGGGTTCAACAAACCACTATGTGCATGCTCAGAGATCCATTCTGCATGACTTGTACTTTGGGAGCAATAAAAGTTTTTCAAGGAAAAAGGTCTTTGGCTTGTGATTACTGGAGGAGTAACCTCGGCTCACAACAGTATCCACTGAATATAGAGGGTACAGCAGAAGGCAATTTGAATCTAGTAGACTGCAAGGGTTTCTGGATCCCAAATAACAATACCTACCACTAAAGCCTTTTCCCCAACAATATTAGACTGTTAGACTCTCTGGTCTGTAGTACCTCAGATGTAAATTTTATAGGCAGGTGTATGAATGGCTCACGAGATACTGCAGTTGATTGGCTGCATTCTCTGAGGCACCATGTTGAGTCTGTCTATGCCTACCTTCTCCCCCCCTCCCCCCCCCACTATTCTGTTCCCAGGTTGGGTTGATAGAACTCAGACTCTTGGGGCAAAAAATAGATCTTGCAAGTCCCAAGTCTGCTCCTACAAGGCCTTTATTTATTTATTTTTCGATTTATATCCTTCCTTTTTCCTACAAAGGGCTCAAGGCAGCTTACAGCTCCTCTTCCATCTTATTCCCACAACAACAACACTGTGAGGTAGGTTAGGCTGAGAGTCTGTGACTGGCCCAAAGTCACCCAGTTGGCTCCATGGCCGAACAGGGACTAGAACCCAGATTGTCTGAGTCCCATGCTCTTAACCACTACACCACACTGGCCTTGACCTTTGCATATCTGCCTAAGACTCACCTCTTCATGTGGACTTGCCCAGAAGTATGACCCAACCAGTACAGCTATATGCCTTATGGCGGGGCAATGATTATTTTTATGGTTGTATTTTTATGGTTGTATTTTTAGGGTGTTATACTGGCAACCATAATGACATTAACTGCTTTGATTGTTGATTAGATAGAAGAATAAAACCTATGCATGCATGCATGTATGCATGCATAGATAGACAGAAAGACAGACAGACAGACAGACAGACAGAGAAATGAACTCAGCAATGGTGAAAGGGCAAGAGGCTCCATAAGACCCAGAAGCTGCTCCTCTGTTGCACAGTATAACCCTCTATTTTACCTTTACGTCTCCAAATAAGGCAGGAAGATTGTGAGTACCAGTTCCAAGGGCAAAATGATACAGGATGTCATCTTTCATCTTTACAAGGTGTGGGTTGGGGACATTAATGGAGGATTCTCTGTCAAAGAGGAAAGTCAGTATGAATTTGTAGCATGGAAATCAGTATCTTTAATGAAGGGAACCAGTATGATGACTGGAAAATAGGGGCTCTTCCCGATTGCAGCATGGAAAATTTTGACTTTTCTGACATATTACCATTCTGGATGAACTTCTTCAATACATTCTTGTACAAATAAGTACTTCACTCCCTGGCCTGTGAAGGTCAAGTTTTGTGAACAGTGAATAGTCTATTGCCAACAGGGCATTGTGTTTAGTAAAAAAAAAAAGTGCTGTTTGATAGGAGTTCAAGAATTCCAAATTGAGAAATTCAGAATTCAGTTCTATACTCTGGATATCTTTCCAAATATGAACAGAGAAAAAGTGGGATCACAACCACTCACACGTGTAGGCCTCATTCCAAACATTCAGCATAGTGTCTGTGCACAGTTTATGAGTGTGCAGGAACTTTCAGACATTACAACTGCAAAAAAGGAACAGGGCTAGGTCAGCAGGCACAAATGAGCCAATCTTCTAAATTCAGGTGAGTGTCTGAAGAGTTTCCTGGTTCTATATCTGCAAAGCTGCTTGATTTCATCCAGCTCCTTTTTACAGAATTCTCTGAGCTTCCATTAGAACAACTGTTTGATAGATATGGAGAAAGTTATTAAGATAGTCTCTAGGCTCCTTGTAAGCAAGGACAGGTTAGAAATACAGGTAAATCAAGAAGAAGTCCTTTGCTATTAAAAAAAAAAAAACATTTTGTGGCAAACATTTTTATTTACTGCAGTTTTAGTTCTTCATTAGGTAACATAAATGTTAGATAAGAAGGATGCTAATTAGCAGGGACACCTTGATGTGCCAAGGTTCACGCCTAATTTTCCATCTGTAGAAATACCACTGCAATATAAAGGAGTTGGAAGGCTATCTGCTCCCCATCCCTCCCTCCTCCATTTGAGAGGAATTCTGTACTTCCTAAAAAAGCATGATAAATAGAGCGGAATCGGTTCTTACTCTGAAGACTGCTTGTCCCCCGTCTTCTGCAAAGCACCACCTGAAGCCATTGGACTTAGAACCTAGGGAGAAAACACCGGGGACAGCTGCATGGCAGAGCTCGCATAAGGACCGTACAAAGGAAGTGAGGCAGGAGCCGGACGGTAGCCGTGCGTGGCCTCGAGCTGGACGCCTGCAGCCAGGTGCACACGGACTTGGGAGCAAGTCTCATCGGACTCAGCCGGGTCAAACACGTACAGTTCCGGTGTGCCTGTCTGAGGAAAGGTGGGGAGAAAGGGAGCTCCCCGGGAGCCTCATCCAATGGTAACCGTCGTGGTCCAGGCTACAGAATCAAACCCAAAGCCTCCCCTTGCCTGGGATCCTTCAAGCTGCAGAAGAGCTGCACTTCTGGATGCAGCCACGCAGAGGGCGGCACCCGGCGGGGGGAGGGCGGCACCCGGCGGGGGGGGGGCGGACCTCTCCCACGTCAGGCGGACGGCTGGGCTAGGCTTGGAGCCGAGGGCACGTTAGCCCACTCTTGGACCGACAAGGAGCACCCGGGAGACTGCCTGTGGGAAAAGATTCCTCTCCGCGGACACTGAGCGACCGGGGGTGCTCCCTGGCGGCTTGTTGCACAAAGAGGCGATGGCAAAGCCACACCTCGGCGCTGCCGTTGGCAACTGGGCAAGCAGGAATCCGGGAAGACTGAGACCACAGCCGACCAGGGGGCTCCTGGGAAGCTGGACTACAGCTCCCAGCGTCCCCCTGCCCGCATCCACCCGGCTTGGGAAGGCTGCCATAACAGAATGGCCACACGGCGTGGCGCCCGCTCCTCCGCCGTCCTCGTTGATGGGAGCAGCCGCGCCGGCTCCTGCGGCCCCCGGCACCAGGGCGTGGCGGGAGCGGCAGGGACGCAGCTGGCCAGAGCTCGAGCCGCGTTTGCCAGCGGGTTGTGGACGGGGAGATCGTGGAGTACGGGAGCAGTGAGCCTGGCTGCGATACGCGCCTCTCCCGCCTGCTTACCTGAACGCGCCCAGAACAAGTGAATGGAGGAGCGAGGGGACGGGCACGTTGGCTCAGGAACGCTTGATGGGTTGACGGCGACTCCGCGGCCGGCTGCCCATTCACGAGAACGGGAGGCTCTCTCTGCGCCGTGCCAGCCCCGGCTCTGGATTTCCTGTTGTTCTTGCTCCGTCAGTGCGCTGCTGCCTAAGCAACTGGTATTGCTGAAAGGAAAGTCCAGGTCTCTTCCTTGTTCGGTTGTTCCTGGTAGCCGCATTAGTCACTTTCCTTGCCAACCCGGGGGCAGGCAAGGAGGGCGTTATTGCCGCATTCTTTTTGCTGGGGCTCCTGAGTCTTTAACAGGCAGAAGAAAAATTTCAGCTGGACACATAGCTGTTAAAAGATTCAGAAATCCTAGCAGTCACTAATAATTGATGGGAAGAGGTTTGCATTGTGCTCTTCCTTGTTTGGTGACAGGTGTGTTTGCGTGGGTGTGCATTATACATTTTAAAAAAATATTGCTAAATTTATATCCTGCTTTTCTTTCAAGGAGCTCAAGGTGGCATATGTAATTTCCCCTCTCCCCATTTTATTTTATTTATTAAAACAAGCTGCGGACCTTGTCCCTAAGAGGGAGTGCAACCCCATTCAGAACAAGGTTCAGTTTTATCTTCACAACAGCCCTGTGAGGTGGGTTAGGCTGAGCAGGGGTGAGTGGTCCAGGTGAATTGAATGGCTCACTGGGGCTTGATCCTGGGTCCAACTTATTTTAGTCCAACACCAGCCACTATTTATTTATTTATTTGGGATATTTCTAACCCGTCCAATCACTACATGTCTCTGGACGGCTTGCAATAGTAATTCAATAAATACAGTGATATAAAATGTCATCCTAATATCCCAAGCAATAATAAAACTAATAACCCTAATAACCCATGACTGGAGTAAAAGCCTAACTATTTTTTTAAACTTTAAAATACTGGGTAAATAAAAAGGTCTTGACCTGGTGCTGGGAAAAAAAATAATGCCACCCTGGCTGTCACCGTGCATTTCCACAGACCCATGTATGCATCTTTTTCGTATTTGGGGCCAGTTAAGTGCGCAGGGGTGCTTGGTTCATGGCAACTATCCATATGAAGCTTCCTGTCTGTTGCCAACTGGTCAACCCTTTTGTGCCTTTTTGTGTTTGCTTGTTTTTTTAAATCACCACAAGTTTTAATTTTGAAACACCCCAGCATGTTGCTTAAAGGGAGGAAACCCATAAGGCTCTCTTGATGCAGAGCAGCTCTTGGAGTTTGTGTGCACTTTCAATATTTCTGAGACTGTAGTGTGGCATGATGTGAACTGGCCAGTAAGTTTCTGTGGGCCCAAGCCCCTCACTGCAAATAGTGTGTCTATAGGATTGATTTCCCCTGAAAGATAGGGGAGACTTTGGCTCCTCTGTGCCTGCCTCTCTCTTTCTCTCACCCCGCCCCCCAGATTTTCATGGTGTCAAGTGTGCATTTCCATGAACTCTGCAATGCAGATAAACAGGAAGGAACACAAAACAATGCAATACTGGGTGGTGGGGGCAGGTGGATTTGTATTAAGACATAGCATGATGTGATACTTCTGCACATAAAGTGCTACTTGTGATCAGTCCAGTTCCTCCACTCAGCAAATATATTTTATGCAAGAGCATTTCCACAGCTGTCAACTGCACAGAAACCCTGGTTGCTAAGAACTTAAGGCAGAACTTGGAGCAGCATCTTCCATGTGCAGCCTCCCCAAGCTCTGGAGGAGACAGCAGGACATAATTTGTCCTCCTGCTCTTTCTTAGCAGCTGCTGAGTTAGATGACACTTCCTGCTAGGCCTAGTCCAGAGAAGGCCCAGAAGAAAGCACTGGTGTTCTCAGTGAATCAGTAGCTGCACCAAGCGAAAGGAGGTGATGAATGGCATTCTGCTGGAGCTCCTCCAGAGTCCCAACAGAATGCGGCTGGGTAGGAGGAAAGCTGCTTGCAGCAGAATATACCACACTTGCTCTGGATTTGCCTATCCAAGTACTGCTTGTCCCAAGCTGCTGCAAGCACCCACCTGCTTCAGCATGTCAGAGGAGCTCACCCAGAGTGGCAGTCTCTCGCCAAGTGACCCTCTAGCATATCAGGCTTCCAGATGGTTCAAAACCAGATTAGCCACATTTTGCTAATATGTGAGAAGCTGCCAGGTATTCAGGCACATCAATGGTCTTTTTAGTTATTGTAATTACATCCAATAGCTGCTTTGTCTTATCACTGGCTTTCTTGGCTTTTATTTACTGTAGGCTGTTCCTCCACTGTACAGTGATGAATATCTTAGCATAGTCCTTAATTGCTAGTCTGTATAAATGGTCCTGGTAACAAAAGCTCTAGGGCTAAGAACTGTTCTTTTTTTTCCAGTGAAAATGTTATATTCACTTCTAAATTAAAAACATAAACATGTACAATGCATAGTAAGTTATCACAGGCACAGAATTGAAACAATAGCATAACTAGGTTACTAGGGAACTACTATTTCTCAGGCCATTATAAGCGTTACAATTAAAAATTATACCGTTTTTATGGCTTTCCTGTAAAATGGAAACTTGTGGTACATTATGTAGTACAATAGTGCACAAGAATCAGATTTCTTAAAATACAGACAGGAAACTAAGGATTTCCTTTTATAAGCTCCTCTTAATAACACACACATAAAAGCTGTTCAGCAAGCAAGCACAAAGATAGCCATATTCTTGAAGCACTTTCTATTTCCTAATAGCTACTGTAATTGTTTCTCCCCTTATGCATTTTCCAGCTATGAATAGAAGTTCTCTAGTCATTCCTTGCGAGTGTCATTCAGATGAACAAATATTCCGTGCTAAGAAATCAGACAATGCTTATTAGTAGAGCTTGAGCATTAACAAACTATTCTCACAGAACTGAACAGGAAATGTATTCTCAAGAGACTTCTTTAAAAATATCCCTAAGTGAGTATAACCTGTAAACTTTGTATGAATCATAAAAGCAGCTTTTCATTCTCAATTAAAAAAAATGTATTTCTGGAAACAACCAAAAACAAAATGTAATGAAAGCACTAACAAAAAGTGCATTTTCTTCTGAGAAACTGCAGTGCGCTTCCAGTTGGCAAGATTGTGAGGAAGAATTCAGATACTTTTGTATTCATTTTAGACTAATCCCAATTTGTTATGATGACAAAACTCGGACAACCTGCAGTTAATCTTAGTAGGTTTGCTGAAGAAAGTCAGCTACAAACTGTAATTCACAAAGCTACCTTACTTCAAATAACAACTTGTTAAGATTTTCATCTTTTGACCATTCAGACATTCTGAACTTCTTGCAGCTGTGTCTGAGGAGAGGAGATGGGAGGGTGTGAGAGGCCACAGTTCATTCTCATAACCCTGCCCATAATTCACTTTACACCTGAATGTGGCCAATGTTGTCATCTGTGTCAATGGCAGTGGGTGCAGTTCTCATCACAATCAGTTTATTAATACAGTAAATGACCAGCATGATCAAAGAAACAATATCAGGTTCCCGGTTACTGTACATTTATACTTAAAATCCAGAATCTAAGCAGATGATACACATTGTATTTTTTAAAGGCAGACATTAAAAATTAATATACAATACCCTGTTGGATTTTACAAACAGGTGCCAAAAAACTTGCATTCTGGGTTGTGATCTGTGGGTTAGTTCCCATAAGAAAAATCTTCTGCATTCAAGTGGCTGGTAAATTTTCTAATCGGGGAGAGGACAAACTTACCACATACTTCCTGGTAAAGCAAGCAGTAAACATGACAGAGGCAAGCCCTTTCTGACACAGATATCCTTCTATGGCAGTCTTCAACAACAGTGGAGGAAGCACTCCCCATCTGGCTGGAAAGAAAGCCCTCCAATGCCTCAGGAGTTCTAATAAGGAGAGACAGGCAGCTGGTGCTACAACACATCTAATATTCTCCACAACCAGGAAGCTTGGAGTTCTACTGATACCCTCTTGTTGTTCGATATCTAACAGCCTCTGCCTTATGACCACTTTCGCTGGGTCCAAACCCATTGCCAGGACAGCTTCCAGGCAGAATCCCAAGTTCCTCAGCTTCAGGCAGACTGCCTTAAGCCAGGAAGATCTTGGATAATTATCTTGGATAATTAAAAATGTTAAACTCTGTTGATTGTAATTTAGCTGGAGCCAAAAATTGATAGAGGCAAGGGAAAGGCTGGCCTCGACTTCTACCAAGTGCAAACACATTGGAGACATGGCTGGATGCTTGAAATATAGATTTTAAGAACCATGGTTGAACACATTCTAGAAGAGCAAAGCCAGATTGGGGGGGGGCAGCACTATCCCATATAAAAGATGGGACAGGGTTTTAGCTTGGTATAATTTAAGTGCCGCTGGCATATACTGGATACCATGAATACATGAGAATTGAACTATTGCCCAGCCGCCCCCTGAGATCAGCGGGAGAGGCCCTTCTCCGGGAGCCCTCCGTGAAAGAAATTAGGAGGGTGGCTACTCGGAGGGCTTTCTCAGCGGTGGTGCCTAAGTTATGGAATGCGCTCCCCAGAGAGGTCCGCCTGGCGCTGTCGTTATTTGTTTTTCGGCGCCAGGCGAAGACCTTTTTATTTAAGCAGCATTTTAAATGTTAATATTTTGAATTTTATCTGGCCAGGGAGGCTTATTTTATATTGTATATCTGTATTTTATTTTAATGTATATATTTTTAAAGGTTATTTATGATGGTCTAACTTATTGTTGTAAGCCACCCCAAGGCTTCGGTGAATGGGGCGGCATAAAAATGTTTTAATTAATTAATTAATTAATGGGGGAGATTTCCAGCCAACTTCCAGCTACGTATTCATGATGGGCAGTTCTCACTCCAGCTGATCATCACTATCAAACTTAGCATATTATTAAACTTTTTTATATTGACACTTGAGAAATAAAACATTGCTTCCATTAGATTCATTGCCACTCATTTTGGAGCTGTAGTTAGCCATACAGAACATTCCATACTGTAGATCAGTGTACATTCTTCTAAACTTGGCATTCTTTCCTACAACTCCTGCTTCCCTAGTGCCGAACGAAAATCCCCCCTGTACCAATCTGAGCCTGATTCACTGGCTTAAAAGGCCAGTGTTCCACCCTGTGTATGAGCCCATCTAGGTGGCTGTCTTGCCCAGAGCCCACTTATAACTTAGCCAAGCTAACCTGAGACAGTCTGGCCATCTGTGTGTATTTTCTAACTTGGCTGCTGCCTTGTAATTCTTACAAGACATTAAACTCATCAGCTGAACAAGGTACGCTTTTACATTTGGTGAAAGTGAAAATATATGTTTATGATTTGTAGATAGCCACTCAAGTGAGGGCAACACAATATTCCCATTTTCAGGTGTTCCTGGTAATGAGGGGTATCTTGGACTACTTGTATTTCAGATTTCTAGCTCATGGGAAAATGTCCCAGCATGCTCAGCCCCACTTGACCATTTTTGTATACAGTATCACAAGCCAGGTGGTCTATACCTGCTTTCCCATCACCAAGTGAGAGACCTGCCCCTTCTCCAAGAAATCTGTACATGTGCCAGGGGAGGGATCTTTCACTTCATGTTGTCCTTCTGAGTTCTTTGAATGGTGCAGGAAACTCAGAGGGGTTGCCTTCATGCCAAGAATGTGCTTGAATTAGGGGTTGTTATGAAATTTATGACTGAGTTCAATCTTAGCCAAATAATGCCTGCTACTCCTATAAAAACAGTGCCTTAAAGCATCACCACAAAAAAGGCCCCCTGCCTCCTCTGTTTTTGCTGTGTAATTCAAGCACTGTATATGAATGATTCTTATTGCTTCTGAATTTCTAGCAAGTCTCACACCTGAGGAAAGATTTGCTTAATCCCATTTCATGAATCCTACACACATGCTAAGGTTTTGAGGCAAGGTAAACTCAGCAGCAACCACAAATACTGGGCAGCTACTAATACATACCAAAATGAGCAGACCTTTTATTTGTATATATGATATTAAAGGTTATGACAATCCAAATCTAGGTGAATACTCCTTTCTTTTTATTTAACTTCTGGAGAAGGCACCTCAAGAACATTCAGCAAACAAATGGAATACAAGAAGAAAGAAATTCTGATTAGTTGCTACTACACATGATTAGGACATACAATATGGTACCATGATTGGTCAGGTTATTAATTGGAGCAAGTGAAACAATATATATGGTCTCAAATATATTCACCAAACAAAGGAGGTGCACTGAAAAAATGCTGATTTTGAAATCAAGTTCTAAATTATTTCTGCTTTTAAAATAGTTTGTCATTTGCTTAACAAAATCTAAGATATGCTAGATCTGCTCCTATTACTTTTCTAAACAACTTTATTCCAAGTAAAACAATCTTTAAATTTTTGACAATATTTGATGAGAATTCTTTTTACTACATAGTCCTAAGGCAATAATTAAAACATTGTTTCAGCTTCCTAATGGTTTATTCAAATGGCATCTGAGTATTTGTATCAGTTTATATGATATAAGGCATACACCAGAACAATATAAGAATGGGATTGAAAACAATGCAATTAAAATTAAGAAATATATATTAATTTAGTATAGCCCAATGTCATAGGAATCTGGCTCATTTTATTTACCTCATTCAACACATGGAGACATGAAAAAGAAAGCTTAGTACTGCAAGGCTTGTATTAGTCAATTTAATTTCATTTGCATGAAACTATACACTTAGGTTCCAGTGATGCAACACCCCAAGACAGCATAGATTAACTAAGTCATGTGACTTCAGGGGTGCTACTATTCACCAGCTCTCAAGCGGATGGCATTGTTGAAACCAGGCTCTCTAAGTAAGCCCAAATTGAAGTTGGTAATAACTGACATTAGGAGCAGGCAACATTTAAGATACAACAGATGGGTATTTTGATAGCAGAAGTGAGAATTCAGATATGAAAAGCTTATTGGAACATATTGCCAAGACTAAATTCATGTCAGGTGCACACTTACTGAAACAAATAGAAAAAATGATCAGGGATGGATGTGGCCCACTGTTTAGAGAGACTGATAGAATCTAATGCATCGAATAGTGCAGCCTGCTTCCCAAACTGTAACACAATTGTCTGCACTCAGTGGTGTTTTGAAAGAGTGACAGAATTGGTGGCAATTCTCTAAACTGTCTACTTTTACTCATTGTGTTGTTTCTGGCTGAGATGTCACTAAATCTGTAAGACGAGAAAAGAGGAAACTGTTTACTAGAACGCAGCCAATAAAATGACAATTTCTTTTCTTTATACAAAAATTCTTTTTTATTAGAGAAGGGGCTTTAATTTGTCATGTTGGCTTGAAAGGGAGAATCACCCCATCTTGACAAAAACTCTGTCCTCTCAATCCATCACTTAACTGTTCTTTCATTTGAACAGTGTGACTATACTAGCATGTATAGTAGTATACTGTATATTAAAAGTATTATAGAAAGTATACATGTTATCCATATTTTCAGTGAAGCTTACTGTTCAGTAAGCATGCATAGGACTCCAGTCTTAGGCTTCAACCCTACACAGCCAAGAATAAGTCCCTTTCAACTCAGTGAGGCTTACTTCTGAGAAGACCTATCTAGGATTGCACCATTAGTATTTTTAAAGGCAGGTGTTAAGCAACAAAACTCTAAGACCCCCTAGCAGAGGGCTGAAATGCAACTAATAAAACAAAGCTGCTCTGCAATACTTACTTAATTTTCTTAATTTGAAGTACATGTTCCTTTTGAAAAAGTGTTCTTTGCTTCTAGTAGACCTCTGCTGTCTGGACAAGTTTAATGCACCTTCAGACACTGATCCTCCTTATCCCAGTGGTTGTGGCTAATTCACCCCACCCCTTCTCTAGCTGTTCACTAATACAGCCCATTTGAGAGTCACTGCTGAAATCTTACTATGCTTGATCTATTCTCCATAGGCACAAACAATACAAATACCATCTTTTCTGCTTGGAAGGTTCTCCAACATGGGATTAAGTGTTAATAGATATTTGAGATGCAATATAGTCTGCCTAACAGAAATCTAAGGTAGCAATCTGACTATTCCTGTGTACTGTACAACACATCTGAATTTTTCTTGCATTTATAGACTTCTGTACAAGGTCTGATCCTTGCTCTGCTAGCACTTGCAGGGTGAAGCATGCTGCTCTTCAGCAACATGTCACTAGGGGGAGCTGCATCAACGCTTCAGATTCTGACAATATGCTCTAAATTAGTCCAGAATGGAATGCCTTTTTATGCAAAGGCCCAGCTGAATCAGTAAGATTGCTTTTCAGAAAGGCTCTTTAAATCAGGAAAGAAATTAATTCATAGAAAGGCTCCCTCCATTAAACCAAGTTTCTCTAAACTGGGCAGAAATTTTGCTTTAATCAGGCAAATGTGGATGATTTGACATAAAAACCTTTTTAGGGAGAATGCTATAAAAGGAGGGATTTTAATATGGCTGAGAAAGTCATCAAGCTTGCTAAATGTGTTTATTTAGCTCTGCCAACCAGATAAATATTTTATTATTAAACAATCATTTTTACTTAATAGGCAGGTATTCAAGTTGCATGCAATACCTGGGTAACATTCACAGTAATAAGAATATATTTAGATCTTAGCTACTATTTCAGTTTTGATCATCATAATCAGAGAATATTCAGGAATGTTAATTGCTTGCCTCATAACCACAATTATCATTTTTGTGTGTGTGTGTGTACATTCAAAATTGTCTTAAAATAATTGTTACATAGAGCAATCAGTTGGAATTTATAACAAGCAAGCAGATGGTAGGGGACAAAATGCATCTCCTCTGCAGACTTTGTAGACAACTAAATTTGTGGGCTTATTTGGAAAGTTGCATTATGAGTATCTCACCATTGGCAAGTACAGTAACTTGCACATGCAACAGTAGGACCTGGATTTTAAAAATCAAGTATCAAAGATTACTAACATAGGAGAGACCTGTTTGCTCCATAGAGTCTTCTACTTCAAGAGATGGACCTGAAGACCTCAATAATTTTAGACCAGGAGCAAATATTACTTTCCTGGACAAGATTTTTCAGCAGGCAGCAGCCAAACAGCTCCAGGCATACTTGGGTGAAAGTGGTTATCTAGATCTCTTCCAGCCAGCATTCAGGCCACATTTGCTCCAGAAACTTCTTTGGTCATCCTGTATGATGACATGGAGAGAAAACCAAGGTGTGATCCTGTTGGTACTGCAGTGGCTTTTAGGATCATCATTAGTCGTGGTATTGTTGATGTCCCTGCTAGCCAGCTGACTTACAGTCCCACTAAACCAAGTGTCAATGAGGTTCAGTCAGGTGGAGATTTGTTCAGTTTTCTTTATTCAGCTGAGCAAAGCAACCAGGTGTCCGCTCCCTACACGCTGGTAGGAAGCGACACACACATTTCTCCAACTGACTCTTCTTATACTTTTTTCCTTTTTCACTTAATCTTGCCCCCATTGCTCCTTCACCCAATCCCCTCTCAGGGTCTGCCTGACCCTTGACCCAATCCCCTTGCGGGGTCTGCATGTCCACTGCATGCCTGACCTCGTGTCTTCTTCTTCACACTACCTCTTTGTCTTACTTTATCAGCATTCTTTTGCCTCCCCTTTTTCCTCTCCAAAGCAAGCAGTTTTACAAAAAGCAAATGGTGTTTATTAGGCTAACCAAGCTCCTATGCAAGCGGCTTTTTACAAAAGCAAATAGCATTAGTTAAGCTAATCAGGTTCCTTCAGTATCCTTCCAAAATGGCTGACTGGGTTGGGAGCAGGGGGTGCCATATTGCAGTGGTTTCACCTCTACTTGGATGGCCGGCTCCAGAGAGTGGTCCTTGGGAAACAGTGCTTTGCCCCTTGGACTTTCCAGAATGGGCTTCCTCAGGGGCTGGGTTTACCCTCTATGCAAGGAGAGTTCTCCTTGCTTTACCTTGGTTACTTGAAGCCCATGTGGCCTTGGAAGCTGAGTGCCTTCCACCAACTTTGATCAGTGGCCCATTTATACCTTCATCTAGGCAGGGATAGCCTGGCTTCAGTAATCCACACTCTCCCAGATTGTGCAATGTACTCTACCTGGATTGGCCCTGAAGACCATTCAGAAGCTGCAACCTGTGCAAAATGCAGCAGCCAGAGGGTCAGAATATATAACACCAGTTCTGGCCTTGTTTACATTGTATGTGCTTCTAAGCTTTATTCAAGATGCTAGTTTGAACCTATAAAGTCACTGATGGCTTACAACCACAATACTTGATGGGACACCTCTCCTAACTAAAGTTTACCTAGACAGTACCATCAAGATCTGGGGCCTGCCTCTGATTGCCACCTCCAGTGGAGGCTGGGTTGGTGGCAACAAGGAGGAAGGCCTTCTCAGTGACAGGTCCCCAATTATGGCAAAAGCACCCCACTGTGACCCTACTGGTGCCTATGCTATTTTTTCAGGGGCAGGTTAAGACTGCTCTCTATCACGGGGTATATAGTTAATTTTATATTTTACTGAGGCATTGTATCAACTGCTTAAAAAGTCTTGTGACTTAATTTGTGTTACCTACAGCTGCTTTAAATTGTTTTGATCATTATCTCTATTTTATATAGCATTTTATTTTATGTGCTGTTCTATACTGCTAAGAAAGTGCCAGCTACTGGGCAATATGGAAATCAAATGAATGCAAACAGAAGTTAGAATTCTTTCTCTTCATTTCAACACTTTTTACCTCCCCCCCTTGGATATTTGAATGCTATTTCTGGGATAACAGTGTAACACTTCGAAGGAGAATTGTTCCTCATCTCTCCCTCCTCCATTTTGAGGCATTCTGCACTTCCCAGTTCTTCATCTGAAGACCATTTGTCCCTCGTCTCCTTCTGCAAAGTAGTACCAGAAGCCATCGGACTTATCCGCAACCAAAGGAGAAAACACGGGCAAAGCTGCATGGCAGAGCTCGCAATAAACATCGTACAAAAGGAAGGAAGGAGCCCTCCCCCGAGCTGTACGCCTGCAGCCACGTGCACACGGACTCAGGGACAAGTCTCATCGAACGTAACCGGGTTAAACACGCACAGTTCTCGTGCGAGAAAAGGTGGAGCAGAAAGGGAGCTCCCAGGGAGCGTCATCCAAAGGAAACCGTCGTGCTTCGGGCTATAGAATCAAGCCTAAAGGCTCTCCTTCCCTGGAACGCTTCAAGCCGCAGGCCATCCCACTCTTGGACGACCAAGGAGCACGCAGGAGGCTGCCTCCGGGAAAAGGCCCCTCGTCTCTGATGCTGAACGACAGGACGCGCACCCTGGCGTCTTTGTTTTACGAGTCCGGAAAGCTGGAGGCAGCGATAGCAAAGCCAAACCTCAGTGCTTCCCATGGCAACCGCGCAAGCAGGAATCCAGGAAGGTTGAGACCACAGCTGTCCGGGGACCTCCTGGGGAGCTGGACCACAGCTCCCAGCGTCCCCCTGCCAGCATCAACCCGGAAGGCTGCCATAACGGAATGGCGGCACAGAGCGACGAGCGCTCTCTTGCGCCCCTCTCTGATGGAAACAGCCGCACCGCATCCTCCGGACCCCAGCACAGGGGCAGTTGGAAAGACAAGATACTGCTCAGTCCTCCTCTTGACCTCTCTGCTCCGACTGTCACAAGGACACAGAAGTAAATGATCTCATTATAGTTCTGGACGAAAACTAACCAGAATTAATTCAACATAGATAAAGGTAGTCTCGTGTTTCTGTTAAAGGAATGGATATGGGATGGGATATGGTTTGGCAGTTATGGAAAGGGCATAACTGGCCCGGAGGAGGGCCTTCTCTGCGGTGGCGCCCCACCTATGTAATGCGCTCCCCAGAGAGGCCTGCCTGGTGCCGTCATTTGTTTTTCGGCGCCAGGCCAAGACCTTTTTATTTAAAAGTTATTTTAATTGTTAATTTATGAATTGTATTTATTGGGTTTTTATGTACATGCTGAGATGTTTCCGGTTTTCTAAGTCTGATTATATGGCTGTTTATTTGTGTTTATTTATTGATGTTGTAAGCCGCTCCGAGGCTTTTTGCGAATGGGGCAGCATAAAAATAAAATAAAAATTATTTTATTAAATAAAATAATAAATAAATATCTTAGTTGATCACAAGATGAGCCAACAAGCAGTGTGACTGCTTAAAATGGCAATGATACAATCAGGCTGCATTAGGAACAGCACAGTATCCAGATTGGGGAAGGAAACGGTTCTGGTATCTTGTGCCTTGGTCACCTCATGTTAGGCATATTGTGTCTAGATCTGCATGCCATGTTTTAAGAAGGGCATTCTCTGGTCGTCCAGAGAGTAACAACCAGGATGGTGACCAAGTCCTCTGCGGAAAAGTTAAAAGACCAGGGTATGCTTGTCCTGGTGAACAGAAGGGAGAATTGATAGTCATCTGAAAGGCTGTTGTGCAGATAATGGAACAAAGGTTTGTTTGCAAGTGTAAGACTAAGACCATTAGGTGGAAAATGCAGAAAGACAGTTTGCACCTAAACATTGGAGAAATTGCCTAATACTAAGAACTGTTCAACAGTCTTGTGAAGTGGTGGCTTAGCTTTTGTTAGAGGACATGGATAACCATTTTTCAGTAATGTTGTTGCTGAATCCTGCATTACAGAGAGCTGGAGTGGATGATCTCCAAGATAAGATCCAACTCTTTGATACTCTCCTATGGCTTTTAGATGAACATAACTGCTGACAACATCAAACTCTATGTACCTCTCTAACTCAAGAAGTCCAAATCTCCAAAGGTAACTGATATTTCCACCTCAATACTTTTTTCTTAACCTCAAGACCCAAAACTTCTGACCTTCCCAGTCATTCAACTTAAACAGTGTAATTTATTGCCAAAAGATGTAGTGAAGACCATCAAGTTGAATGGCTTTAAAAGATTAGCCAAATCCATGGAGGATAAGGCTGTCCATTAGTCATGATACGTACATATTACTTCCACTATCAGAGGTGATGCACTTCTGTTCCTTAACAGTTGTTGAGGAACACAAGTGGAAGAGTGCTACTTGCTGTCAAGATCCAACTTGTTTGCTTCTCACCAGCCGCTGGTCGGTCACAGTATAAATGGCATGGTGGGCTGCATATACCTTTGGTCTGATTCAGCATGGGTCTTCTTTATGTAGTGACAGCCTCACCATCCATCCTGTTAATCAGGCATAAAACAGTTTCCTTACTGGCTACTTTACCCACTTTATTCAGTCTGTTGCCAAATGTTGCTTCTCCTGCATTGATCCATAGCTTCTATGAAACACACGTCAATTTGGATCTCTAGTGTAGGATTCTAATATAGAAGTCTCTCAAGAATCACAGACTTTGAAACAATAGAAATGTTTCTATTTCTGGATGACCAATCCAATTTTGCAGCATTCTACTTCCCTGAAAAGGATTGGAAAAAAAATCTCATTTAGGAATGAATAGAACAGCCTTGTTAGCAAAACTGAGCTAAGATCAGCATTGCTCTTTAAAAAGTGAAAACTTGAATAGCATTTTTGAAATCAAGTTTTAAAGCAGTTCTACCCTTAATATAATTTGCAGTTTGCCTAATGCAAACTGCATCCTGTGTTTTTATTATGGGGCACTATCCTATCACCCCCACAGCAAATGCACATAAGCTTCTCAACTCAGAGGTTTATGAGAATCCAGTGGAGAAGGGAGGTGAGTTAACAGTCATCTCTGAAGCCATCACAACTTACGCCCTGTACTTTCTTTGGATGGCCATTTTCAGAAAACTAGTTTTCTCACCAAGGAGTGGGGGCGGGGGGAGGCTGGGGCACTTGCTGGAACAAGCAAGTCCACAGTCTCAGCTTCCTCCCCCTTCCTCCAACTCACGCTTTCATCCTCCTCCAAGACACAGGGTGGGAGGGAACCAGTATGTTTCTTTTTGTACCAGTTGTGGGGTAAGATCTCAGAGCTGTGACTCTAAGGACTGCACAGCTTCCCAGACTGATGTTGGAAAATCCTAAGAATGAACCCTTAATACGTACCATGCCTGCACCAATCACTTGTCTACAGAGTTATTTTGCTATTTTAGTTCAAACTACAATGGCCAAGAGAACTTGTTAATGACATTTTCCAGTTTACTATGTACAGTATTTGTTGTTATTATTCAAATAATAATTGCGGTACAGTTGTTTCCAGTTCCTAATAATATTTATTTAAGTTGAACCCAAGTTTTTATGTACATTTATGACATGAGTATTAATCAGGAGAAAAATAAGACTAGTGTCCAAAATTATCAATGCAATCCAACATTTTGAATAAGAATTCCAATGCCAATATACACTGAAGTGTGTGTGTGTGTGTGTGTGTGTGAAGAAATATATATATATATAAAGGTTCACAAATCTGGTTTTTACTTACCAAATTCAACATTTGCAGGGGGGAACATTGCAAACAGCATGTCTCTTAAAAAGGTCTCATTGTTTTGTTTCACTATACCCTTTCCCGTAGTTCTATGTAATAGCAAAACATTTATTAGTAGGGTCCTATGACTCCATAAATGCTAGTGTTCACTAACTCTCAAATAGCTGGAATGACTTTAGAAGTCAGGACTGTAGAACAAATCTCAGAAGAAGCTAGTGTTAACGGTCGTTAGAAGCAGACAACATCTTAAGATAAGGACTAAGGTATTAAACTGCATGGCAAGCACCCGTATTTTAAAAGCTTGCTGGAATAGATTACTGGACCAAATTCGTATCACTTGCAAACGTACTGAAACAGAAAACTAATGGCATGAAGTGTCCCATTGTTTCAATATCCTTGTTAGAGTCATGTAACCTAACATATAAACATAGAACTACTGAAGCCTGCTTCCTCAGCTGTATTAAGCTTTTTGTACTCAGTGCTGTTTTGAAATAAAAATAGAATGTGTGGCAAATCTATGAAGTATCCACTTTTACTCATTGTCTGTCTGTGTTGATTCTGGCTGGGACGTCTCTGAATCTGCAATACAAGAAATGAGAGCAAAATGTATTCTCACTAAAACAGAGACAATAAGTTTTTTTTACAAGTACTCTTGATGGTGGACAGAGATAAAGCTCTACTTCTAATATTGGCTTGGAGGGAAAAGGCACAGGAATTGAAGCATTACTCCTCTTAACTCTCAGTCCTTACTTTTCCCTTTACCTTATGACTTTAATATGGTGGTAAAAATATTATAAAATACATATGAACTGCCTGAATTTTTGAATGTGCTATATAAACATGCTAATTATTACATACTATTACAAATATGGACATTAACTGGTAAGCAGGGCTAAACCACTGCTTACCAGCTTGGGGCAGTGAGCCATCAGCCATGGCAATCAATGGCACTTAAATCAGTCAACCTGATCTATTCTAGGTATGATTAAATCTGGATCCAATTACTATTATATTAAAAAGCTTGAGGGAAAAAAGGATATGTGCTATGTTAGGAATACTGAATGCAACCATTTGGAAGAAAGGAAATGGAGCACATTCCTAGACTTGCAGATGTTGTCACTAATGTATATTCTGCTTCTCTTTTTAAATAAGAGCACAAAGCATGATTATCAATCAAGACATCATTCAGATCCAAGTAATCTATTTAGTCAGCTCAAAGTATTATTCTCTTAACATATGTATAAGCAACAGAGTTGTAAAACCCTACCCACTGGATCAAAGATGAACTTGTGCCCCTACATATGGTTTGTCTTACCACTCCCATTATCCCTCACCATTGGTTCTGCTGACTAGGACAACATCCAGAGCAAGCGCACTATATCCAAATCACTTATTTTTCAGCTATAGAAGCTCAGGCTTTAACCTGCCTTAGAAATTAGCATTAATTGCTGAACTTCTTAAGGAACATCCAGCAATTGGTCAATAATCACACAAATAGACTGATTAACAGCTGCTTGGTAGGAGGCTCTTAGGGATCTTGTGGACTATTATCAGTGGCAAACTATTTCAAGTCAGTGATGCCTGGTTTTTAAGTAGGTCAGGAATGCATTTCACTACCTTCACCTGGTGAGGAGGCTACAGCTATTTGCATTTGATCAGCAATGATGAATGCATGCCTTTGTACATTTTAGGCTGAATTACTTCTTGACTAGAAGTTTCTACAGAAAACAGAAGCTTCCCTTCTGATGAGCTGGATTAAACTATTCAAATAGGTATTATTTCCCAATAATCTTCTGTGCATTATTCAAGGGGAAGGCTTAGACCTAAAAGCTCTAAGGTAGAGCTGTGTAATTTCAGAGACTGCCTTTCTATTTGATTTTAAAAACTGCTCTCATCATACTACCCATGCACCATACTCTTAACAGAAAGGTACACCAATAAAGTTTTGCTATCTGCTTTGTAACTCTCTCTCCTATGTAAAATATTAATCAAATTAATATTTGAGTATCTTCTACCTGAAATATTTTCTGGTCTGGTTTCAATGGTTTAGGTTCTGGGAAATTTGTTTTTATACAATTCAATATTTAGTACTGAGATATTGTTCTATGGGGTGATTTTTGCTTTATTTTTAAATGGTAATGGGTTGTAGACTTCCAATTTAAGATCAAATGGATGCCAATAAATTATCTTTAATTTATTGAGTTACTATTCTTTCTATATCCTTAATTATCTATTATATCATTGAATCAGATTCCTTTAAGTCAATGCAAATAATGCCCTAGCATAAAAAAGTTAAACCAAGCTGGTAACAGCCAATTAAAGCAACCACCATTTCAAGCCTGTCTTAATGCATGTTTGCTTGGTTCAATGGAGCTTGATCTTAGAGAAGTTTACATGATTGTAACCATGCAGTGCAATCTTCTGCATGTTCACCTGAAAATCCCATAGTTTCCCATGGGACTTACTTTCATGTAAATATGCATAGCACTCCAGCTGACTAGGTTTAGAAAATAATACTGGGGGTGTCCATTTGTATCATGTCATGCAGGTGTGGCACACTTGGATTATGTCAGGGATAAGCAAGACTATGGATCATTGTGGGTTTAACTAATGCAAAACTATGGCTGTTGTAGTTACATACTAAACATGGCAGCTGAGCATTCCACTGCCTCACCATGGGTTAAATAGTCCATACAGAACTGTTGTGTTGTGTGAACAATTCCACAGAGAATTCATTTTACTAATTTGGATTACATGTTCCTTTTGAAAAAGTGTTCTTTGTTCCTCTGCTGCCAGGACAAGTTTAATTCACCTAGAGACTTGTATCCTCCTTGTTCCAGTGGTCTAGACTAATATTTTTTTCCTTACATTCGCCAGCAAAGCACTAATGCAGTCTACTTGGGAGTCACTGTGGATAGCTTACTATGTTTGTTATATTTTTTCATAGGCAGGGATGATACAAATACACATTTGCCTTCCTGCTTAACATTTAATCCCATGCTGAAGAAGCTCCTATAAGATACTGACAATGAATGTAATGACTCCTGCCTAATTGAAAGCTATGGTGACAATCTAACTATTTGTGTGTGCTTTATAAAACACCTGATTTTTTCCTTAAGTTTTGTTTATCCTTCTGTATAATAGGGCTGAATTCAGAAGCAGAACTGTAGAAGGTTAGTGGATCTTTTTGGGCTTCATTTTGTGTCTGTAAATAGCAGTTCTCCATGTTGTATTATAAGCAGCTGCTTTCACACACTGCAAGAAAAACAACAGTTACTGCATGTGCTGGCCTCATTCTTCTTAGGACTCAGGTCAGTATGTAGAATTTATTTTTACTTGTCTATTCTTTGGATGGTGCTTCTCATTGGTAATTTCAAAGTTTAGTACGAAAGACACTGAAAGCAAATGAAGTAATTCTGTCTATTCTTTGAATATGCCTTGAAATAGCAATTAAGATAATTGTGCACCTCTTGATTGTCTCATACCAAACTACAAAGATCCATTGGAACATATTTGTAATACAGTATGTATTCATGATAAAGGAAACTTAAGGTGTTTGGGGAAAGGGGAGGGAAAGCAGCTATTGAAAAACTGAGCTGAAGTTCCATCCCTCTATAAATGAGGAGATACCTGTCTGTAAGAGGACTGAAGGAGAATGTGAACATAGCAACTTCTCCCTTCATAGTTCAAAGGTTTTTGCCTATTAATATAACTAGAAGTAATGATGAACATTCAAAGCATTTGGATTAAGTGTATGCCTTTGGATAAAAACTGTTACTTCTCCTCATTAAATTATCTTGAACTGTTATAAAAGGACTCTATATTTGGAAAAGTTTGATTCTTATATTCCATTATGGCAGAAATGGGCTGTTAGAAAAGGGTCTTGGGTGGCATACATTCTGAGTTTGAAGAGTGGTTTCTTAGGCTGGGCACCCTTTTCAAGTCCAGCTTGAGATCTAGGTTTTCTTTTGTATGACAATCTATTTTTTCTAGCTTTCTGCCTCTTTTCTATTTTCTTCTGGTACTCACTTGGAGGAGGATGAGAATCTGCAAAAAAGAATGAGGAAATTATTTATTCAATATGCATTCATGTACTCAACAGACTCAGTCTAAATTGCTGTAATGGTCTTGCAAAGTATTTCTTGGGGAGAAATGAGTTCTAATGGAATATAGAACATACTTAGTTCTCAAGAAATTATTTTATTATAAAGTGAATCTTTACAACAAGATCATTTATTTAGAGATATAGCTATTATTAGTATATAGCATTATATCCTGCTTTTTTCCTCTTGTGAAGAACCCAAGGTGGATTACCAGGTTCCCTGTCCAACACAGTAACAACCATACCACACTGGCTCTCTAACATATTCTAGTCATCTAAATGAGGTTTACTATGTGCAATAATCCAAAAACAATAATGTTATGCCCCAACTTTAAACTCTTTTATTTGGGACTAAAAGCAATGGCAATTACTTTTGAGTTCTGGTTATGGTTCAGTATGCAATGAGGCATCTCTTACTGTATTAGGCTAGAAATGAATGCAGGCTTATAGGACTTATTTATAAAACACTGCTTTCAGATTTGGTGTGTTCATACTGTACACAATTACAACAGAAACTCATATCTGCAGGGAAGAAGCTCCAAACATCCCAGTGGATGCCTGAAACTGTGGATGGTAGCATCACAGCATTTGCGGGAGTCAGGGGCACATGATCCCCTCAAAAGCAGAAGTACTGCAAATAACTTTAAAGGAAAACTGTAACTATTTCTTTGTGCCCACTGGGAGACAAAACACATGAGTGATTCTGGCTAGTTCAAAACAAAGGTTGTGGCATCCCCAAACAGAGTGTGTAATTCCCTAGAGATATTTGCAGTTTTTCTACTTTCATGGAGGTCCTGTGCTCTTAACCCCCTCAAATGCAGAGGGCCCGTGGTCAACCTCAGTTAAGTGAAACCACAGTAACTGAAATGGAGATATGGGGTCCAGCTGTATACGGTTGTTTTTATGCCTCATAGATTTTATGCCTCAATTTTATTTTGAAAAGTAATGGTAATACATTACCATTCGGCTGGGAACATTTTTTCTCCCACTCATCACGCTGCTGAAGCCACTCATCTCCATAACCACTGCTGATCAGTTTGCTAAAGTTTACAGGTTCGTTTTTTTTGTGAGCAGGCCTACACAGAAAACATTAAAGAAGTATTTCCTTTAAAATTCTAGTTTTGTACCCTTAAATCAAAACAAGATCTCATGTTTTTATGATTACTATAAAATATCTTACAGTGAATAAGCAGATAAGTCTGTAACATTTTAGAAGAATGCTATCAAAATGGTAAATGCCAGTTATACTGCATACCATGGTTTTTTAAGCAGTTTCTTATCAATTTACTAAATTACTAAATTTACTAAACTTTTATACTATTAACAAGAACTAGTGAATATTATTATACATTGCCACTGTTAAGGGCCAAATAGCTCCAAGCTTATTTTTTGAGTTCTGCAAGTTATTTCATACGTTTCCTAAACAGGCTTTATGAAAAAAAGCCTTTACAATGGTACCTTGGCTCACAAACTTAATCCACTCCACGACTCTGGTTGTGACCCAAATTGGTTGTGACCCAAGTCAAGACCCAGTTTCTGGTCGCAAGCCAAGTCAAATTTCCCCATAAGGTTCAATGTAAATAAAGTTAATCCTTTCTGTAACTTTTTTTTTAATCAGAAATTTTGAAACAAAGTGACAAAGTACAGTACAGTATAGTGGAGAACACTAACTTAGGTGGGGTGGGGGGAGGTTATTGTTTTGAGGGAGAGTCCCCCTCCATAAGGACACTGGGGAGATCTCTTTCAGGGGTTTCCTCTCTTCTTTGTCTCTTAGCTGCAGGGTCAATTTGGGTGAAAATTCTGTCTATAGTCACTTGTTTTTTCCTGCGCTGCATAAGGGGAGACCACATTGTTGTTCATCAGATTCAACACTCTGTTCGTTAGTTATGTTGGGGTGGTGCTTCTCAAAGAAATCCTGGCATGGGCATGCTCCTGCAGGAAAGACGGGTGCAATCTCAGCCATCTCTTGCCCCCACCCCCGCAACCAGCACGATCGCAACCATCTCCCCACTCCGCAACCAGCACGATCGCGGCCATCTCCCAGCCCCCCAAGTGGGGAGATGGCCAGGATTGCAGTCGCATTCGTGCAGGGAAGACATGAGTGATCACAGGTGCGCTCCTGCAGGCAAGATGGGCACAGAACAGCACAGCGTTCCCTGCATGAATGCGACTGTGATCGTGGCCATCTCCCCACTCGGGGGGGGGGGGGGAGATGGCCGCGATTGTGCTGGTTGCAGGGGGGGGGAGATGGCCGAGACTGCACCTGTCTTTCCTGCAGGAGCATGCCCGTGATCACGCATGTCTTCCTTGCACGAATGCGACTGTGATTGTGGCCATCTCACCATTTGCGGGGGGGGGGGGGGGTGGCTGCAATCTTGGTTGCCACCCAAAGTGAAGTTCACGACCCAAGTCAAAATTTTCATGAAATTTTTGTTTGTGACCCAATCTGGTCATGAACTAAGGAGTGTGTGAGCCGAGTTACCACTGTATATATCATAATTTGTGAAAATTGTACACAACTACTTTCCTGAGTGTACACACATTGAAAACATGCAGGGAGTACCTGCAAACAAATTAAGTGGCCCCAAATGAATGGGATTTACCAAATGGACATTTTTTACTACTTTTTTTAATGTCAGATTTCCAAGTTGTATGTTTTTGAATTCTCCTTTCTATCAGAGGTATTACAGTAGTTAGTCCAAAACCATGAACATTTTGTTCTCAACTGATAGCAACACCCATATACAGCTCCTTATATAAGACATCACCCCCTCAACTTGTGAAGGAAAAAACTCAAAGGAAACTATAAGCAAATATGAATGGCTGAAGAAAAATTATGATCCAAAACCATTACTCCCACACCAGTTCTATATGAAATACACCAAAGCATAACAAGACATTCACCAGTACAAAAATCATGAAAAACCTAATTACTGGAAATCTATGATATGGAAATTGAAATTCATTCATGTTTTTATATTTATCAACTATTTAATTTTGTTCATGAAGGAGTTTGTGTGAATTGCAATATATTTACATGCCACTTACTTAGAACACAATCCATTGTGGCTGCCAGCAATCCCCTGGAATCAGGACATTATGGCCAGCCTATGCAGGGCAAGAGAAGCATCAAGATAAAGGCTGCCTTTGCATTCCTTTTGCCCTGTAAAGCAGCTAGACCAGGGGGCCTCAAACTTTTCCACCAGTGGGCCAGTTGAAAGCTGCCGGTGCTGGGCAAGGTCCGGAAAGGTGGTGCTGGCGGTGTGCACGGGCCGGCGCGGGAGTAGGTGAGGTGTGGGTGGGCATGTGCCACAAGGCGGGCACACCAAGCAGCAGCTTGCTCGCTTGGAGATCGTTTTCTCCAAGAGAGCAAACCGCTGCCTCCCCACACATGGGGCAAGGTGGGCAGTGGCGGGCACGTGTGTGGGCCTGCGCGGCGGGTCCAAATGGGCATGGCAGGCTGGATCCGGCCCCCGGGCTGTAGTTTGAGGACCCATGAGCTAGACAACCAACTTTGGTTGGCTAACGACAGCACTCTGATGCAAGAAGGAAGGTACTGAGGCACTGCCAGGATGCTTCATATCTTGATGGCATATGCATTTGATCAGAACATCTAAATTCCTTCTCTGAGGTTGTTCTTACAATTTTGGAGAAGCAGCTAGTGAAGTTCTTTCTCTGCTGGCTGTGAGGTGCACCAAGTGTGGAGGTGGGGGGGTGGGAATCCTATGGCCTTCTAGATCTTGTCTAGGGAACCAAAGGATCACTATGCCCTCATACTGAACTATTATTATTAGTAGTAGTAGTAGTACTGCTACACTGCATTTATATCCTATATCCCACCTTTTTTCACTATCTATTCATGTCTAATTCATTCAGTTCAGAGGCCAGATTGTAGAGGCCAGGATGTGAGCTATCCTGAAATTTGACCAGCCTGCTTTCTTCTCATTCTGAAATGCTGTCACTAGAAGTCAAAAAAGTGTGGCAAATGAAAATACAGAGCAGGACAGAGTGGCAAATTTTGCCCATGCAGCTCCTCCTGGCTCTGCATAGGATAACCACACACCTCCAGCTTCAGAGTCTGTGATTAGAATATGTTTGTATCCTTCATTTAGTAAATTGTACCAGAGCCAAAAGTAGTACAATGCTCTGCCAGCTGTGGATTTAAGCACCCACTTGAAAGACACAGGCAACAAGAAACTGCATGTGGGCAAGTGCCAGGCTGGTAGAGGAGGAACCAAGTGCTCCATCCCTCCTCTGTGCTCAGTACAGAGATGCAGTGGGTGGCTCTCTGTGTCTCCTCCATGAGATCCCCAACAGGGTAGTAAAATAGCTTTGCAGACTGGTAACTTTTGTGGGTTCATTTACTTAAGTTATTCATGCATGTAATCTTAGAACTTGAACAGTGTAATATTACCAACATCATAACACAGAGTACTATTACTAACATTGGAGGGAAGTAAAGCCTGTTTCCTCCATGGAATTCTTTAGCTGCAATAGGTTGTGGCATTCTGTGTGGGTATCTTGGTGTTATAGCAGGAAGCTTGATCTGTGTGAACAGAAAATCCAATTCAGAGTTGACACAAATACATATAGAATTAAAAGTGACTGAAAGCAGCAAAGGAAGAATATTCCCAGGAGGATTGCAATATACTTTGTAATGTAAGAGTGGAGAATTCCCCCCTCCCACATTGCTGATAAGAGTCATGTTTCTTCATGAATAATTTGTTAGAGACCACACTCTGGCACTAAGCAGGGGCAGACCCAGTAGTCAGCAGAACTGACGGTAGTTCTTTTATGGCATTATATCTTTTAGACAGTCTTTTCAGTGCCAGCCTTTGTGTTTACATGTTCTCTCTCACTCTCCACCATTCCGCCTCCATTTCTTGCTCTGCCATTCTATTTTCCTTGCTCTGGCCCTCCACTACGTACACACACACACACACGTGTGTACGTGCACATCAAAATCCTATTCAAACCAGATTCTACATTTTGGTAAGGTGAAAGAGAGGCTGGGAGGCAGGAATTTGCACAAGGAAGCCCAAAGGCACAAGCACTGCAGCCTAGAGCATCTTTTTGAAAGATGCTATGTTCCTCTATCAGTTGCTCTCAATGGTTGGGCCTCTGAGCTTGCTGAAACGCCTGACTCCTGGTCTTTTTCTTGTTCTTTTCATGATGGGGATGACTGAATTGTGGTGATCTATATCAGAGGCAATGCCTTGTGCTACATGAAAGTCACAAACTCTGCACCATTGCTATAACAATGTGCCATAACAATCTTTCAGCAACCTGACATTTTCAAGAAAGGCTGAACTTTTGCTAGCCAAATAAACCTGATCTGTTTCCTGATACATAAGGAAGTTTGAAATGTGTTAACCAAGCATTGGAACCATGGTCCCTGGTCTAAGCTCTCCAATGATTCCAAAGCTTTCTAACATTAGAAATATCAAGAAGCAGCTTATCCTCCATTAACTTCTCTCAGGATGATTTATGGGATCTAATTGGGTCCACTTTAAAAGCTCAGGAAGGACTCAAGATCTAACCAAACAAGTTTAAATTTTACTGCAGCTGGCCAAGCCATAAGAGAAATTTGACTACAACCTGATTTCAACAATAGGTTAGAAAGTGAAATACATCTAGGAGCTTGCAGAAATGAAGCCTGTACTGTTTCCAGCCTAGTTAAAACTATGGCCATAACTAAACAGACAAAGCCTAGCCACAGTTATGCACCCTCTGGTAATATCCTTATGTCAATGCACTTTTTAAAATTATGTTTTATTTGTGCTATTTTATTGTGATATTATTCTGTTTATTTATTATATTTTAATTGTATTATTTGATCAATGTTATTTACTGATTTTATATTGTAATGACCACCCAGTGAGCATGTTGCTAACAGGTAGCTTTTAAATGAAGTGTCTGTACTTACACATAAAGCAGTAAATGGTTTTGGTCCTGGGTACCTGAATGATTGTCTGCTCCTGTATGTTCTCACTCATCCGTTAAGATCAAGTGAGGGAGCCATCCTCTAGAGAGGTGAGGGGGATGCTGGCTAGAAGGGCCTTCTCAGTGGTTGCATCCCACCTGTGGAACAGGTTTTCCAGAAAGGTGTGCCTGGCACCAACACTGCGAGGCTTTCAGCTCTAGGGAGACTCATCTTTTCTCTGGCTATTTTAACAATATATTTTAATGGTTATTTGGTTTTAAAATGACCCTTTTTATTTTAGTTGATTTTAGTTTAAATCGTCCTATGAAATGTTTTATAGTATAATTTTGATATACCATGTTTTATATTTGGATTATGTTGTTAATACATTTTGAATATGTTGATTTAATGTTATTGGTTTTAGAATATTGTGCCGTTTTTATATTGTAAGCTGCACATGGACTGAAGATATAGGCTATTGTAGCGGCATACAAATTGAAATACTAAATGAATAAAATGTTTGCTTGGTAAACCTCCAATACCACTGAGGTTGACTGGCCCCTGGACTGGAAAAGGAATGTCAAAATAGCAGCGGTGAGCTTTTGTTCCTTCCAGAATGTAGATTGACCAGGTATTAGAAACTGTAAAATGAAATCCAAGGTAACAAAATGACTGCACTTGCTCTATCAGATGCCCTTGGATTATCCAAGGCTGACTATTTTTTCTGTATGTACCTGCTTTCTGAAAACTAAGATTTTGATTTACTATAATTGATAGCCAACTGGTTGTCTAGGCAGAAATTTGCCATAGCATGAAGTATATGTTTCAGCCCTACTCACAAACAGAGTAAGACAGCATAATCATACAATCAGATTGGCAGGTGGTGAAAATTCAGTTAGAAAGATGGAAATTACTGTGTTTTAGCTTGAGAGGTAGCTTGTATTGTGTAAATACACACTTGAAAGATCTGGGGCTAAAATACAGTTCTGAAGACATATTTTGTTTTTGAGATTAAGTTGGAGTACTTTCCAGTGGCAGGGCATCTAACCTTAACAGAAGATGTAGAGTACAAAGACTGAATTAAAAAGTCTTGGTAGCATATGTACATGTTCCAACTTGTTTCAAAGGAGCAAGCCAGAGACTGGATCAAATGCCACAGGCAAGTCAATAAAAACTACATATAGCTGTCTTCTGAGGGAAATATGCTTATTCACCACAAAAGAGCGTATAAGCATGATGGAGTATACAGGACCCTTCCTGAAAATCAATTTGCTCTGGACCAAGAAATGCTGGCCATCCAAAGATGCAACCTTAGTTTAAGATGGGCAACATACAGTTTTCCAAGAATTGCAAGTAAGCAAATAGGGCAATAATTAGATAGTAGCTCACATCATCCCTTTTAATGGATAGGAATAATTATGGCTTGATGCCCTATACCTGCTATTTTGTCTGAATTGCTTGAAAAGCTTAGCAAGGACCCAATCAGGAACAGGCCCGCCTTACTTTTACTTCTGCCAAAAGGGTGGAGATTTCCACAGTAGTGACAGGGTCCTAGCTTTCCAAAGGAGTAAGACTATCAGCCAAGGAGATGTTGCTGAGGATAAAAAAAGTCCCTCTTGTTCGTTGTTTGACCGTGAGAGAGACAGGCAACACCAGCAAGATATTTTATATAAAAGGAGTCTTTTTTATAAATGCACACTAACAATAAAGAGCGAGCCCATCTCCATTCAGTACCAGCTGCTACTGTCATACACAGTGAATGTATACTTTAGCATTTTGCAATGATTAGTAATAGAAAACATCATAGCAGAAAATTTTAGTTTTGTACATGTTTATCATGAACCACAAGTCTTTTGAGCAAATCAGGTGTTGAAACATTTGCCTCCAGGCTTCTCTATACAAATTCGGACCTTCTTGACAGACACGTATTTTATATGGTCAACTCTTTTGTATCTCTCTGACAGAATACTAAGTAACTGACCCTTACCATTTGGTCATCAGGAAAAATTTATATTATAAATTATATTCTTTATATTCTTCAACTGAATTTAAGTTCTTCTCCCACTCTCAGAGTGTAACTGAGGGAGCAAGCTGTCCTTTACTATTAGAATTTACCAAGGGCCAGAATTTATGTGAATCTCACACAGGAGAGACCTGGGGCCTCCTTTTCCTTAATTGACGATAGTTTTTAAATTGCTGTTCCATTCTTAATTTAGAAGGTAGGAGACCCTGCTCTCCTCTTTTGGGGGAGGGGGGGTCCTCAGACCCTCTTTCTATTGTTCTACCAAGTTATTTAACCTTTTGTAACATGTTTTTGCCAACTCTTTTTCCTAGCTAGAGTAAATGCTCTACCATTTGCAGAATGGTTAGGCCACTGCAAAGGTATTATCAGCTCCAGAGACTCCGCCCTTGTGGCAGAGGTGTGATTGAAACTTTACCATATTTTCTATTCAGCTGCCATTTATATTCTTCTGCAACAGCAAGCTTTATATTGCCTTTACTGAGTAGGTTCCCTCGCTGTTCACATGATTTCCATCTGCAATACCTTTTGGCTGGCAGTGATAGGTACATCACCATGTCTGAGGTGAGGTTTATATTCTGTACCCTTAAAACTAGACAGGCATTAAGTTAAAATATTTCTGAGGTTAAACATCAGTGAGGCTGTTGATATAGATCAGTGCTCCCCAAACTTTTTCATGCTGCCATCCCCCTTCTTCTTGGGTGACAACCCTTGCACCCCATGCCTCTCTCTCTATATTAAGTCTATTGCTCTACTACAGATTTCAAACAACAAATCACTGCCACCCTGCATTACATGGCAACCAGACATGTAAGCTATTGGGGAGGATTTGTTCAGGGCCATGGAGACTGTTTTCCTGAGCCCCAATCCCAACTGGCTCCAGTATAATATTTAGTATGACCTTACCATTACTCTGAATGATTATTAAACTTACCTTTCTGTCAGGACCAAACAACATATGACAGTTATATGAATCTTTGCATACTTGCACGCATGTTTGTTTTTAAACAGAAACAGAATCAGCTACTGAGCTGATAGTTGTTGGGATCACATTATGAATGAAGGATAATTAAGCCCTTTTGTCTCTTTGGAAATTCAAAAGAAGGAATGTTCCTCTTCTCAAGATGCTACCTATATTGGAAGAAAGATCCTCACTGGCACCAACTGGCAAACAATGGATAAACGCTGTGGCAATACGACAGTTACTATGAAAACTAACTACAGTTTAGCATTTATCAGGATTTGAAATGAGGATCGGGAGCTGATTAGCACATTCTGCTTAAGAACACGGTTTGGACAGGTATAAATATAGGTAGGAAACACCATTTATTCAGTGACTTAAGGAGAAGGGGACATGATGGTGAATTAGAGGAAGAATTTGCTATTTATTTACTACACAATAGTTGAAGGTCTTTTGGCAGTTTACATATAATGCGACAATGCAACTTTCAACACAAATTTCCTAGCCTAACTATTCTTTAAAATGGTCCATTAGACCAAGTTTCCTCTTATGAAATTATTGTTAAGGAAACTCACCTCTTCCTTCATGCTTCCTGGAGAGCTGTCAACTAGCACTCCATTTTCCTGATGAGAAATTTTAACATAATTTTAGTAAGAGAGGCAGTTGAATAGGCTTCAATATGAAATATAAAATAAAAGTAAAGATTAACACTCACTACAAAATTTGGCATAAAATGAAGACCAATTCTTGTTGCTTACCTCTTGATCTGCATGCAAGAGAGGCAATTCCTCTTAGTAAAAGAGGAAAACCAACAGCTCCAATATTATAACTGTAGCCAATGTCAGGGATAGAGAATATGCAGTCCAGAGGTGAGACTACATTCCTCACCCCTAATTATGAGCGTGAGGGCTAATGGAAGCTGCAGTCCCACAACATTTGGAGGGCCACAGGTTTTAACTCCTGGAATAAATGATGTAATCATGTAACAAGTACATGTACGGTATCGATAAATAGGGAGGATAAGAGGGACAGTCATGGTCTCGCCCGTATTCAGCAGGAATGATGAAATACATTTGTTTTAATACCCAAGCACATTCATAGCCATTTTGGGCAAAAAGTGCTTGCCCATATAGAAACGGAGTGAGTCAGAAGGGACCTCCCAGACCATCTAGTCTGACCTCTGGCTCCAGCCATCTCCACTCATGACATGCCCACCATGTGCATATCAAGCCTGTCCTTGAATACCCTCACCGATGGCCTCAACCACCTCCCGTGGAAGCCCATTCCATACCCTCGGGGTCCTAACTGTCAAGAAGTACTTTCTGGCATCTAAATTGAACCTTGGTTCCCTGACCTTTGCTTCGTTGGAGCATGTCCTGCTGCCCTCCTCTGCAGGGGAGAAGAGGTCTCTACCAACCTCCGTGTGACACTTCCCCCTCCCCCACATACCTCTATGTCGCCAACAGATCCCCTCGAAGTCTCCCCTTCTGCTGACTGAAAAGACCCAGTTCCCTCAGTCTCGCTTCATACAGCATCCCCTGCAAACCGCCCACCAACCTTGTAGCCCTATTCTGCACTGACTTTAACCTGACTATATCCTTCCTTTAAAGAGGGGCCAAAAACTGAATACAATACTCCAGTTGCGGGCACACCAGAGTCATATAGAGCGGTAGTAATACCGCTCTTATCTAGCAGCCACACTTCTGGCTATGCAACCAAGGGTGGCATCCGGATACTTCAATTGGTTCAAAATAGAGCTGCCAGGCTGCTGACGGGGACTGGGCGTTATGTTCACATGACTCCAGTCCTCCATCAGCTTCACTGACTTCCCATTGAAGTCTGGGCCCAATTCAAGGTGTTGGTGATGACCTATAAAGCCCTAAACGGCTTGGGTCCTGGTTACCTGAAGGAGGGCTTACATCCATATCCGCCCGCCCGCCCCTTGAGATCTGTGGGAGAAGCCCTCCTCCGAGTACCTACCCTCCTAATTTCTTTCACGGAGGGTTCCCGGAGAAGGG